CCAAGTTGCCTGGGCTGGTCTCGAACCCATGGGCTCAGGTAATCCACTCGTCTCGGCCTCCCAAAGTGCTGGGATTACAAGCCAAGCCACCAAGTTTGGCCTATATTAATACTTTAAATAATAAGATCTAGCAGTAGATCTAATTAGTAGCTTAACTTTATTTTGAGTTGAGGCCTCACTCTGTCGCCCAGGCTGGAGTGTAGTGGCACAATCACTGGCATGATCACGGCCACTGTGGTCTTGATCTGCTGGTCTCAGGCAATCCTTCCAAGTACCTGGAACTATAGGCATGCACTACCATGCCTGGCTAATTTTTCAATTAATTGTAGAGACAGGATCTTGCCAAGTTGCCCAGGCTGGTCTCAAATCCCTGGGCTCAGGCAATCCTCTTGCCTTGGCCTCTCAAAGAACTGGGATTACAGGTGTGAGCCACCACACCAAGCTTTAACTTTAAAGTAGCAATGAACATAGATGATTTTTCAAGGTACCTGCAACAACTGCAGTATGGTAGGAAAATACCTGTTAATACTATCATGGATTGTTGATGACAGTCACAATCACAGGAAATACTAAATTTCAGTTAAGATTAGTGAAAATAAAAATGTACTTTTCCTCTCTTCCAAATGAAAAAAAGGATTCCCTTTAAACTTTTCAGAAGTAGAAAAATGTTTTATGCTACAGAAGGAAGGAGGGAGATTAGACTATAAGAAAAGATGGAAAAGATGACCATGGATGTTTCTGCATCCTCCTTCTGAAAGGGGGCTGGTGAGATGCCTCTGGACATTGATACAGGCACAAGGAGCAAGGTAGACAGGGGGGACAGGGTTGGGAGCAGCTTTTCAGCTCTCCTGGAAGTCCACGTGCAAGCCAGAGCTGCATCTCAGCTTGATCATCTCAACTCCTAAGATACTACTATGCCGGCCATTATCCCTCTCTCCTCTCCTGCACTTCCCTGACTCCAGCACCCTCAATTGTCAGCCTCCTCTCCCCACACCTAAAATAGCTTTGAAGTTAGCACTGCATTGGCCTCTGGTCCAAGGACCAGATTCCCATAACTGCAAGGCACAGAGCAGACCTTTTCAGGGACTTTTCTTACCCCCTAGTCTCAAGACTTTCCACAGGGACAGAATTGGAACTTTTTCTCTTCATTCCAGAGTCTGGGCTGCCTGAGGGAAACTCCATAAGCAAAACAAAGTGCATGGTGGGCTCAGTAGCACATGCCTATAATCCCAACACTTTGGGAAGCTCAGGTTGGAGGATAGCTTGAGCCCAGGAGTCTACCAGCCTGAGCAACATAGCAAGATTGTCTCTACAAAAAATTTAAAAATTGGCCTGCGCGGTGGTTCACGTCTGTTTTCCCAGCACTTTGGGAGGCGGAGGGGAGAGGACTGCCTGAGCCCGTGGATTCTAGACCAGCCTGCAACATGGCAAGACCTTGTCTCTAAATAAGTAAAAAAAAATGAGCTGGGCGTGGTGGCTCACGCCTGTAGTTCCAGCTTCTTGGAAGGCTGAGGTGGAAGGATTGTGTGAACTCAGCAGGTAGAGGCTGCGGTAGCCGTGAGCAGCTTGCTACTGCACTCCAGCCTGAGTGACAAAGTGAGACTCCGACTCAAAAAAAAAAAATTAGCCGGGCTCGGTGGCTCAGCCTGTAATCCTGCGCCTTTGGGAGGCTGAGGTGAGTGGATTGCCTGGCAGGCGAGACCTCATCTCCACAATAAATAATAAAAAAAATAAGCCGGGCATGGTAGCGCGCACCTGCAGTTCCAGCTACGTGGAAGGCTGAGGCGGAAGGATCACCAGAGCCCAGCAGGTCGAGGCTGCGGTGGCCAGGAGCGGCCACTGCACTCCAGTCTGGGCGACAGAGTGAGACTCCAACTCAAAACAAAAACAAAAAATTAACCACCATGGTGGTGTGCACCTATAGTCCCAGCTACTCAAGAGGCTGAGGCAGAAGGATCATCTGAACCAGGAAGTTGAGGCTGCGGTGAGCGGTGATTCTGCCACTGTACTCTAGCCTGAACAACAACAGAGACTCTGATTTTAAAAAACAAAACAAAACCAAGTGGAGTGCAGATCCCGATTTCTAAAAGCCTTCTCTAAGGGTCAGGGCTGGGAGACAGTCCTGGGTCTTATAAAGGGGCAAGCTTGGCCTTGATGTCCTCTGGGGGTCTCTCCCCAATCCCAAGGCTATCTTTGGTCTTCAGGGGGATAGGGTATTTACTCTCCCATAGTGGGGAGGTCTGAGGTGGAGAGGTTGATTCTGAGATCCAAACTGAGCCCAAGGCCATGTTTTAGGGCAAGAGTTCCCAGTGGATTCATCACACCTCCACTAGGGTGGGCAGCTATAGGCCCTGCCTCACGGCTTCTACCTTCTTCTATGCCTTCAGCAGCCAGCCGTTCCAATTCTGCACACAGGCTGAAAATCAGCACTGACAGTGGGAAGTGAGACATGAGGGATTCCTACAGCTCCAGGCCTCCAAGCTGCCAGGCAATACGGCCTCCTCCCCAGCACCTGGGGGCCACCGGCTGCACAACCTGGTGGCTTGAAAGATTTCAACGAGCTCAAGACACTCCAAATATACAATCTAAATAGCAACTCCCCTTCCCCAATACTGCAGTCCCCAAGCCCCACCTAGACTGAAATTCAAGAGCTTGCAGTGTTTTGCAAGCCCAGCGGCAAACCCCACAGCCGGTTTCCCAACCTGTAGAGGCCGCACCCGGGTCTCCAGGGCGGGCAATGGCAGTAAACCCCAGCAAGCCCCAGCCTGCTCGGAATTAACGGGTCTGACTGTGCCCGGAGAAAGGACCCATGTCTCAGGGCCCCTCCCCATTCAAGCACCTGCCCTCTAGAGCTGCGTGACCCAGCCTCAGTCCCGGGTACTGGAATCCAGCCAAACCGTTACGTTCCGGGAATCACCGCGCCGCCCCCCCCCCGCGACTTCAGTTCAGGACCCCCAAGCCCACGAGGGAGCGGAAGGGAGGCACTGTCGGGGGGAGGGGAGGAGGAGGGAACAAACACGCGAACACAAGCAGGGGAAGGGGGGCTCCCTGGTGGGTGCCCGAGGGCGCGGAGCAAGGAAGGCCTGAGTATGGGGGTCTTTTCTGGAAGGGGTCGCTTCGGGAAGGGGGTCTCAGATGCAGTCCCGGGGCCAGCGCCC